GGCAGGCCTGTCTCTCCTGCGTTCCCGCCGCCTCTCGCCCGTTCTTTATTGCATTACAGTCTGCGTTCATTTGAGAATAATATGTCAAGCTGGGACGTAAGCCAATCAGCACACGTCCCCTGCTGCCGTTTTCTATTTACTGTATTCGTCTGTGCTTTTCTTCCGCCTCTCCCTTTTCTTGACTACCACTCCCGCTCTCTTGCTAAAATCTCCACATAGCGGCAGGTGTTCACACTTCCACGTAATATAGCCGCTCCCGGTGAGTCAGTAATGAGAGATGGATGCGTACGCTTGTGAGGTGTGGCGGCATATTTTTCCAGTTAATGTGTGTTTTTGTGTATCCGTGCTGCATTCCAGAGCAGCGCCAGATTTGATCCAGTCAGTAAATCAACAGAAAACCTTGGATATTTTGGTACAATACAATTCAACATGTGGTGGAAGAGTCTTATACGGGGACAAAAAAGACCCTGTTATTAGGCTATGACTCTTAGAGCTATAATTATCTGTTGAATACATTTCAAAAGACACATCCACCCTTCCTCCCGCTGCTCTCTCTGTAACCTTTCATCATTTTGTTGATGACTGAACTTTTTGATCCCTGTTAGTAAAATGTGATAACAGATTTGAAGGCGATCCAGCCATCCCTTCCCGTCACATAAGACCTTTAAGCTGGCAGTTACATGAGTTAAGGTGTGTATCTGGGCGTTGGTTTGCCCCAGGATCATAGATGTGATCAACAGCTTTCAGTACTAGAACTATACAACCAATAATAAGACAAGTTATCCTCAAGGGCTAGCATCGGGTTGCGTTAGCAGTGGTGGACTCAGGCTGTTTGAGGGGTCGGGGTGACACAAATGAAAAGGGCACCGGCTGCACAGAAAGATCTTTTAGCATTGTGGCAGTCTGAGAACACAAGTTAACCTCAGTTTTAGTTTTTCAGTCTTCGCCTATCCACTTCTGAACTTTAAAACAAAGTTGCTCTTGGCATCTAGTCCTGCCCTTAACCTCTGTTTCTGCAAATGACTGTCAAAGATGTCTCTTGTGCCCTTTTAAGGAAGAGTTCAGATGCAATTAAATCACAGTGGAAAAAAACAAAACAAAAAACAGATCCATTCTAATATATATTGGTGTGTTTTCACTGCATGATACACCTATTTATTTCCCCAGTTGCTCCTGTATATTTTGTTTCACACTGCGGATAGTTGGCTACCCCTTGTGAGTGTAAGCGGGTTGATCTGATGATCCCCTTAGCGACCGTAACAACGTCACACTTGTAGAATCCTTTAATCTGCAACCAAACAAACAAAAACCTCCGCTTGATCAATTGTATATACAGCATAGTTTGGCATGCTGCCTTTTAAAAAAACAAAACAATCTGGGCCAAGAGAAAGAATACCTTGTTTGCGCACAAAAAACAAGTTTGTGCAGTCCTGTAACCTTAGCGATGACTCTTGTAACTGTCTGTGTCCGACCAAACAGCGGTCTGCAGGCTTTTCATTCTGTCCTCTCATATAAGCTAAGGGAAAACTGGACATACTTGAGACAGGGTGCTATCAAAACGGGCAGAATTTGGAAGAACCATGCAGTGAAAATGTGTCAAAAGAGTAACTTCTATTTCCTTTCATTTTTCATTTCATCAACAGACTAGGCCAGTGGTTCTCAAACTTTTTCTGTCAAGCCCCCCCTTTGAAGAAAAAAAAAAGTCGGGCCCCCCCAACACAAATAGTCAGGCTCAGTGGCGGCGCCAGAGATTTATTTTGGGGGTGCTGTGGGGTAGCTTGACGTTTCATAGAGGGTGCTCAAACATTTATGGTTTCCCATTAATGTACCGGTCGCTACAGTGGAATTTTCTACTGCAACACTCCCCACGCAAATACACAGTGTACCCGCGACTGTTACAATGAAGGCTCGATAATCAGCTCACGGCATATAGGTGTAAGCAGGGGTAAAGTGCTATTTTTATAGGTGGTGTGTGGACCTCACATAGGGGGGTCCGGGGGCAAGCTCCCCCGGGAAGATTTCTAAATATTGAAGTTCAAAGCATCAATCTGGTGCATCTTTGAGAGCAAAATGAAGAGATCTATGGATACCTCTCTCAACACCCATTTGAAACAGAACTGTAAACAGATTTACTATTTCTTTATGGATATTTTGCAAATCACTCCCTTTTAAACGTTATTCTTGTTTTACTGTCATATAGTATTTCATACCTGTTTTTCATTTATTCTCTTATTTTTTTATAACTATAATGATCATATAAACGTGTGCCTCGGAAATAATTGTTTACATTAATGGTGACCAAAACATTTGAGACCCACTGAGATAACACTGAGAGAGTCCTTTAGCTCACTGAGTCTCTCAGTCTGACAGGAGAGGACTCTCCTCCACCTTGTTGTTGAAAAAACTCCTTATATCCGTTAGTGTAGCTCGCTAGCACCAGAAGCTAACAACAACGATCTCCGGTACCGGTGCGCTCTCTCTCTATCGCGCGCACGCACACAAAATGGTTCGTTCCACACACACACAGAGCCAAGCTTTAATGAAACACAGAGACACAGACGTAATAGTACTGTACTGTATCATATTATTTTCGAATCAATAATTTTTCAAAATATGATTTTTTTTTTTTTTTTTTAATCTTTATTTAGTTTTTTAGACATTTTTTCTCCTGGTCTCTCGCCTGTCATGCCCCCCACTTTGAGAACCACTGGACTAGGCCAACGAAATAAATTGGACTCCAATGATGTAACAAATTGTGACAATGACACTTCAGTTGTATTCTCAACTGCTCTTGAAATACACTTTTTTGTGAAAGTCCGTGCCAGAGAAGCTCCTTTCTTTACTTTTAACAGGCATGAGACTGCAGATTTAAGGCAGTGGTATAAAAACTGCGTCCACTTTGATTGTTGCACTTGAAGAATCAAAGACACACAGGCTTTATCCCTTTAGTGGAGTCAAAGGGGCGTAGAGGAGGCCACATGACTTGTTTTTCTGCAGCCGCAGAGTCTAGTTGTGGTCAGGCTGTCACTAGCTCCCTTGTCTTCCTCCCTAACTGCTCCTCTGCGTCCCTCATTTCCTCCCCACCTCCCTGCTACTCATACACCCTGTGCCAATCCCACAAAGGAATGAGAGGGAGGAGAGCAAACAAGCCTGTGGTGGTGCAGAGAGGGAGGAGTGAAGCACAAAGACATGGAGATGAAGCAAGTAGGGCAAATGAGGTTCAATCTGAGGCTGTTATTCCTCTAGGACCGAATCATGACAGTCCCGTGTGTTTGCTTGCCTGTGTGACTGTTTTCATCTTTTGGTGTGTTTTATGATAGCGTGTTTGTGTGGGCGTTAATGTGCTGCTGAATATATGTGTGTGTGTGTGTGTGTGTGTGTGTGTGTGTGTGTGTGTGTGTGTGTGTGTGTGTGTGTGTGTGTGTGTGTGTGTGTGTGTGTGTGTGTGTGTGTGTGTGTGTGTGTGTGTGTGTGTGTGTGTGTGTGTGTGTGTGTGTGTGTGTGTGTGTGTGTGTGTGTGTGTGTGTGTGTGTGTGTGTGTGTGTGTGTGGTGTGTGTGTGTGTGTGTGTGTGTGTGTGTGTGTGTGTGTGTGTGTGTGTGTGTGTGTGTGTGTGTGTGTGTGTGTGTGTGTGTGTGTGTGTGTGTGTGTGTGTGTGTGTGTGTGTGTGTGTGTGTGTGTGTGCGCGTGCGTGCGTGCAGACTCAGCTATGGCTGGCTCTGCGGCTCATCACACGCTGCAGCCAACTGCTGATTACACAGCACTTGTTTTGTCTTCGCTCTACTCTGTTCTGCACCCATTATCAGCCCGGGAGCCTGCGCAGAATTAGAGAGCTTTGTCAAACACACTGCAACTCAAGTTTCCCTCTTCAGCTGTTTTCTCCTTGGCTCCCCGCTACAGAGGACACCTCTGAGGACCCAGCAAACGGTCCGACATTAGAGTCAAACACTTGCTTGCTCATTCCCTTGATCTCTCTCTGGGGCTCAAGCCTGTTTACCCAGACTGATGACATTATGACAATCAAGAGGGGATCAGTTCCATTCCACTTCCTGTCCGGAGGCTCCCTGGTGTGTTTTTGGATAGTTTGGCATGCACAGCTACATCGCCTCACTGATTCATTAGAGTCTCCCCGTGATGTGACTCCCCTAGCATCAGGCGAGTGTTAGTGGGCCGTGACTTATTGTTTCAATGAGGAGCTGATGAGTTGACTGAAGCTAGCACTACGCCGTGTCATTTGAAAGGCAATCATGTGAGAGCTGATTACACAGTAGATTTAGACAATCGGTGTCCATTTTCTATGAAGAGTTGTAGTATGTTTTCGAGCCAAGGACAGGCAAACTGGGCGTGCCTGCTCTCTAAAGGAACTGCAGGAAGGACAACTCAGTGGACAGATAGCAGATTTCCTGTCGGGTTGTGAGGTAAACAAAGAGGGGGAAATCTGTTTGCCTAACCAATGCGTCTTTACAGCACACATGTTGTGCTTGAGAAATAAATGATCTGTTTTCTGTTGAAAGATGTTGGTCCCATGAGTCCTGGCTGAGCTGGTTTGTCTGGTTGTGAGGCATGACGGACTCAGGTTGTTTCTCCTCTCCTGCTCTCTGTGGGCAGCCTCTCAGTCACTCAATGGGCACCAGAGCAAAATAAACTTGTGCACAAATCCAATCAAACCCCTACTCGTTTAACCATCAACCGAGCCACATTCCCGAGGTGCATTTAATTTGTCTCCTGTCTGAGCCCCTCTGCTCTCTCAGCACTGCAGCGTGGAGTCACAAAAGCAGCCAAGCATTGACAGGTGCTTCTGATTTCCCTCCATCACACCCAGTATCCATTGCAGTACATGAGCTGAAATATGGTCAGACTACTGAGTCAGCCTTATACCAAAGTTTATGGGGAAAAGCGAGTGTCTCAAGTCAAGTCAGCCAACACTCCACCATGCTTTATGGGCTCTTTAATGATTGACTGTATTAAACCCTATTTCTCTCCCTCTCTCTCTTTCCACAGGCGCTAGCAGCCAATGCAGGCACAGGGTTTGCAGTGGCCGAGCCACAGGTGGCCATGTTCTGCGGGAAGCTCAACATGCATGTGAACATTCAGACCGGCCGCTGGGAGCCAGACCCATCCGGAACCAAGAGCTGCGTAGGAACCAAAGAAGGCGTGCTGCAGTACTGCCAGGAGGTGAGTCACTGTGAATAAAGACAATCACAATGAGCAGGTGAAGCAAATGCAAAGACGAGAAGGCAGCAGAATACATTCATAAACAAACTGAAATACAAAACCATTGAAAAATATGTAATATATTTCAATCTAGTTGAGTTTGAAATGTAAAGACCCATATGCTGTGGTTGCACTGGCTATGTGCTGCTGTTCATAGTCATTACTCCACTCAGTAGCTTGCTACCTTTATAGCTAATCATGCTAACAAAGGCCCTTCAAACCAGAGCCATCGCCTAGGAAGTGTTATACATGCATTGACTTTAGAATGACATGTTGGGAGATACACTTACTGAGTTAAATAAGAAAATATGTGTAACTTTTTTCTGCAAGCTAAAGAAAAGCTGTATAGCAAAAACATTGGTAAGCTAACTTTTCTAGTAATTCCCTACTTCAGAAGCTATACATATTTATTAATTTCACTCCCCACAAAAATAATATATATTTTGTTATTGTTATTTATTAACTATAATGCTAGAACTACTATTTAAACAAAGCTGACTTTAATTGAAAAAGAGATAGCATGATAGCCTTGCTAGCAGCAGGGCACCTTTGGTGGCTTATGACAACACATGAATTATATTCAAATCAATCAAATCAAGTTTTATTTATATAGCACATTTATAAACGATTTTTGGTCGAGCCAAAGTGCTGTACATATAATAAAAATGGCCTACAGTAGAGACACTTTACAGCAAATACAACAGTACAGATTGTTCAGAATATCAGTATGAGAAAAACGACACCCTCTGTCCTTAGACCCTCACATCGTACAAGGAAAAACTTCCAGAGAAAACCCACAGTTTAAGGGGAACATGGGAGAAACCTCAGGGAGAGCAACAGATGCCGTGTGTAAATCGAAGAGATAATACATTTGACAGCATATAGACCGAATGTTAGGAAATGCATGTGTCTGTAATAAGAAGATGAATCCACGAGGATGTCAGCTACAATCCTGAGGAAGCCATCAGGGAAGCAGCATGACGAGACCCAAGGCAGGACCGCAGAGACAGGTTCAGCCACGACCCGAAACGTCCACGACTTTATCCAGAACTCAGGATAGAGGATCCAAGACACAGGACTACAGCAAGAGGATCAGCCTCGACTCCGGATCCCGGCGTAGATATAGATACAAAACAAGAAAAAAGATTTGGCTGGGTTAATCGGAACAAGAGAATACACAGACACAGACAGAGAGGGAAAAGGTCATTGGATAAAAGTTATTCTTGATAACCCTCTAGAAAGATCTCATGTATATATATATATATTCAAGACCCTTGCTGAAGTAGCGCCACATCCCCTAGTTAAATAACTACTATATTAAATAAAGTGGATATTATGTTAAGTGGTGAACTAGCAGGAACATTTAGTCAAGCTAGGCTAGCTGCTTTTGTGCTAAAAAAAAAGAAGAATTTTTTTTATTTTGAGATGAATTGTCTACTAAGTTTGAAAATTCAGTTTTCATTTCACCGGTAGGCCTATTCATCATTGGAGAGGCTATTGAACTGTTCTTGAGAGACAGACGTTACTTACAGTGCAGTGGGTGGCATTTTAATTAGCAGGCTCTAGCTGCTAGCTGTCTCTACATAAGGGCATGTTTTTTTCCAGACATGGATATCCTCTCTCTCATTGGCTTCTTCCTACTACTATATCTCATAAGCAAAGATGCTGCTGGTAATATTGCCATGGTTTATTATGTGGCTGTACAAGAAAAAGCAGACTGTACGTTCTAGAGCAGCCTTCCCCACAAGCTTCAGTTGCATTTATTGATGACATTTTGATGGCATTTGGGGAAAGTAAGTTGTGTGCTCTTTCATGGTTGAGCAGATGGTATCTAGAGAGCATACAGTGTGGATTAAAGGCTCCCATTGAAGCTCCACTTATCCCACCTTCTCTCTCCCGCACACACAGCATACTAATTGTTTGCTTCTTCTTCCAACAGATGTATCCCGAGCTTCAAATCACAAACGTGGTGGAAGGCAACCAGCCAATTCGCATCGAGAACTGGTGCAAGACGGAGAAGAAGGTGTGCAAAGGGCACGCCCACATTGTGGTGCCTTACAAATGCTTAGGTAAGCTTGTGCTCTAATAACGACTTGAAGGGCTTGGGGAAATCACTTAGAGGACAGTAAATGGCCTTCCATATCAGATGCTCTCCACTGCCCCTACCCTCTTCCAAATTGGTCCTCCATTTATCGTAGAGAAAGGAAGATTATGATACATATTGGCTGTAGGCAGTGGTGACATAGAGCAATATCAGAGTCTGATTCAGTTGACTAATCCTGGCCTTGAGCTGCGGATAGAGCAGATCCAGGCTGGATGGGAGCTAATGTCTCTCAGGACGGATGGCTAAAGGGGGGAGAGCTATTATTGCTGGGGAGGCTTGTTGAGCAATAAAGCACAATCTTATTTCCCTCCTCAGACAGTGGCCATAAACTCACACAGACACACAGGGTCAGTGAGAGGGAGGGCTGTGGGGAGGCCGGCTTTATTACTCCCCATTTCACCATTCGCCTGTGCCGTCAGCCACACCTCTCTCGCTCCTTTGTCTCCTGCAGCATCACTGTAATCAGCAGAGGCAACATGGCTGTATTCTGGTTTATTAAATATCAGATGGAGCCGCAGACTAAGCAGGCCACATGTCTCTGAGCTCCCCAACAAAACCACAGCATGCTCCTGCTGCCTCTGAGGATTGCAGTAACAGAGAAATACAGTTCTGAAACAAGTCTCCTCTCTGTGCTTGTCCAGATATGTCAGGAAGGAAGAAAATACCTTCCTCTATGCCGCCAACACTTCCCGGACACCATGCCGATGTCCAAAAGCCTCTTGCTGATTGAGTTGTGTCGCTTTCCCGGGATGAAAAAGCCATTAGCAGTCGCACTGGACTGTGAAATGGGCGACTATTCAAGAGCATTTTTGGCAAATGCAGAGAGGAGGCTTTTGGGAAATTCATGGGACAGCAAACATGAATACAGATGAGAGCGCTTCACATGCAGAATCAATCTCCAAAATGTTTCTGCTCTCATGCTGAGGCTGTTTCCCTCTGACTACCTGCCACACTCGATGGCCTCCTTTTCTACACTCTGGCAGGCTGTTGCATCTAGCTACATCCCAAAACCTCTCATTGTGATTCAGCAACAGTGCCATTTAATTAAAAACAATCCCATTACCTCTTGTAGAATAATTAAATAGCTGCACTGCTTGTTCTTGCACATTTCTTGTCATCATAGTTAAAGGTCTGCGCACTCATGCCTCATCAAATTACAAAGGCCGGCTCTGCTGGATTGCAAATGAGGAGTCTGAACGGGGAAGACAGATGGAGAAGGGGAGATAGACATAAGGTGTTGGCGTAAGGAAGCAATTGAGAGGGCTTCTGCTTAATTATGTAATGGAGCATGTTAGGACCTTAATTGGAGGACTCTGATCATATGCTACGAGCCACGGCATGCCTCCTGCACCTCGCCTCACCTCTCCTGCACCTCGCCTCACCTCTCCAGCCCAGTGTTTGCCAGGCCTCTCGATCATATTAAGTGCAATGAAGAGCGCCTTTTTTCATTATTCATTCTGGGTGTTTCTCAACCTCGAGTAAAGCTGCTCCAGAGCCACTATTTCAAGCATACTACGTCATCGAGTGCCGCCGAAGTACTGTTCCAATGTCCAGCATACTTGGAATTCTACCGAGCCTGGCGTACTTCGTTTAAATTTCGAGGCTGCACATGTGTAGACTCCGCGGTCTTAAAATCCCCACAATGCTTTGCGCACGGACAAAATCTGTGGCGGAAAATGTAAGGCGGGGCCTCTCATATGACGCACACCTGCACACTTGCTAGCCTGTTCCACTCTTCGTTTTCCGAATGCCAGGAAGGATTCTTGCCTCGCTTCTGAAGCAAGACGCTCGGCAGACATGTGCTACCAAGCAAGCGTACTCGAGATTGAGAAACACCCTGTGTGTGATGTTCACATAGTGTTCCAGAAAAATGGACATCAGAGGTTCTGCCTTATAATCATCAGCGTACATTAATTATGGTCCAAGCAAAAAGCAATGAAATAGACCAAAGGGAGGTGGGCTATATCTTGGAAGGATGTGATTAAAAGGGTCAGGCCAGAACCCATGTGAAGTTAATAGGTTGATATGAATAATGCAAGTGCATTAGAAGGAGCTCAGTGTAGAAAGAGAGGGATGGGTTATGCTGTATCCCATCGCTCCACGCAGAGGCTCAGCCGCAGAGCCACAATCCCTCCATGTTTCCCGTCCCCAAACAATGGCTCTGCAAATGAATGTGATGTGTGTACCATGGCACTGTAATCCCTGCAGCATGATGTCTTTGTCGAACAGCACAGGATTATTTTAGAGACTTTTTTATGATTATGTCTGGGGTGGTGAGAACAGTCAGTGGCAGATGTGTGGCTGTGGTGTTGGTGTGTGTGCATGGCAGAGTATCTGTTACACAAGACCTACATGTGGGAGGGAATTCAGCTGCTACAACGCAGGCTTCGAGAGGAAACATAACATGTTTCCAAAGAAAGCCTTTTCTGTGTAAACACCGATTGATATTTCTAAAGGCATATTCACATTTAGTTGATGTCGCTTTATATACACTTCTTTAACGACTATTGCTCAAGGTAGCTTTTACATTTATTTGAGGCATGTTATGGCTTATTCTGAGCTACTTTCTACCGCATGGAAGTATTTTAAGGACGTGTTTTGACGAGAAGTGGATTTGAATTAGTAACATTTACAGACATGACGCATACTTTGCCTTTCCTGTTGAGTAATTCTGTTTATTCAACAAAGGGAACGGCACACCATGACGACTCCTGATATCATTGTTGTGGTCAATAAGTTGATAAAAGATACAAATGCAGGCTTGTTTCCGAGCACCACTCCCTGCCTCTGTGAACTGTATTGCTTCTGGGAATGTTTTACACACGAGTGATACAGAATTGGTTAAGGCGAAAGTTTCGCACTATTAAACTATAAAAACCATGAGATACAAGCAAATGTTGTCTCCATTATGTAAGTTAAACCACCAGCTTCCTCCTGGCTTTAGTCGTGTCTCCCTCATAATCCTTTCATGGTGGCAGATCAGATTTCTTCCACTTAAAAGGCACAATCCATGATGCAAATGTAAACAAAAGGGTTGCCAAAAAATCAAAGCACAACAGTGGAACCTGACAGTAGGGCTGCTCGATTATGGCAAAAATCATAATCTCGATTATTTGGGTCAATAATTGATATCACGATTATATCTCTTCGCTGGCCTGGGAGCGCCTTGGGATCCCCCAGTCAGAGCTGGTTGATGTGGCCAGGGAAAAGAAAGTTTGGGGCTCTCTGCTGGAACTGCTACCCCCGCGACCCGACCACGGATAAGCGGGAGAAGATGGATGGATGGATGGATTATTAAAAACTTTGGAAACATCCATTTATTTAAAAAAACCATTTGAACAGTATGTTTTTAACAGTTGATTACCCTGAACTTTAAGTATAATTCAACTGAAAAACCAATATATTTTCTTTTTAAATAAATCAATAAAAAATAAATAATCGTTTTCAAGGTTCTTTATTTGTCATACGAACATAGCTACAGAGTAGTTATGTCGATGAAAATCTTAGGTCACAGGCTTCTCCAACAGTGCAACACAATAATACAGAAAAACAGAAAAATATAGTGCAAGTAAATATTAAAAAGTAAATAGAAAAGAAAAATAGTTTTAAAAAAGTGAAGTAGTGGTATTTTGATTATGTTGTTTTCATAATCGTTGCAAGCCAAAATCGTAATTGCAACTTCAGGCAGGGGGGGGGGAGAAACTTCTATTGGAGGGAATTTAGGGATTGTAGCCTTTGAAGACCAAAACCTATGCAACACACTACAGGAAAGGGAAAACCCAATATAGCATTATAGGGCACCTTTAATATAATAAATTCAAGATGTAATCATTTATCGCTGTGGAAATGTAATTTTCAGATCTCACATTGATTACACTAAATGTCATTACAGCAGCCTTTCTTTAGAAAGTCCTTGAAACACAATAGCCATGCCTTCAAGGAGCACATCTTGGTTGGTGCTTAATTTAATTCACCACCTCCCAGGGCTGAAAGTATCATTGGTGTACTCTTACCTTCACACTGTCCGGGGACTGGAGAGTGTTAGCCAGGGTGTCTGATAGACTGGAGGTTAAAGAAAAGTCAGATGAATAGAGTATGTGAGAGGAGGTTACAGAGAAAGAGGAGTGTATACTCTCATACACACACATACAGGTACAGAAACACACTGAGCAGGAGTGGTTGCGAGGCGCAGCTGCTCTCCACACACCACCATCCATCACCGTCCCCTCCAAACCCACCCTACCCCGTAACCAACCTGTGAGTGTGAGAGAACGAGACAGAGAGAAAGATGAAATGAAGAGGGAGTGTGTGTGCAGGCTATAGAGCTGAAGATTACTGAGAGTCTGTCTCTCAGTTTCTCTTGATGTGAAGAGAGGAAGACTTTAGATGGAGAGAGGTGTTACTGAAGTAGCAATACCCCAATGAAAAATACATATATTACAAAGTAAGCTGTGCATTAAAGATTTCACTTCTGTAAAAGTAAAGAAATATAAAAAGCAAAATCCAGTAAAGTATAAAAAGTGAAAGCACTCGTGCTGAATAGCCACTTTAAGAGTGCTATTTTTATTCCATTATTCTGTCCCATCTAGTCAAGATGGAGGTGATTTCAACTTCTTAAGGGTTTAAGGCAGGCTATAACAATGCTTTATATTTTAAAGGCAGGTTACATCTGAAGTATATTTCAAAATCTGCAAAGAAGCTATTGTAATAAATACTGTATTACTCTCCTAAATGTTGTGAATTGAACAAAGTAGTTAAATAATAACTTGAGTGTTTATTCTCTAAATTGTTAGAAAAAACATCAATTACAGTTTCCTTGATCCCAAGAGGACCTTTATAGTCCAAAATGAGAATTTGAGAAATCAAATGAATGTTAAGCCTTTTCACTGTAATGATAACATTGGAAACTCGACTAGCTAAACACACCTTTTCCGGCTGCCATCAGTCTTCTTTTGTCTTTAGAATATAATCACATTTCTTTCCTGGGATTTGAACAACTAGTATGATTTATTAACCTACCAAATATACATTCAATATGCTCTCCAGAAGACACCAGACTCCATTGACAGTAACAGGCTGATTATTGCAAAAAAGCCTTTTACTCATTAAACTCTTACTCTGGTTTAAGGTAACAAAGGCCATCTCCTATTTTTTAGTGGTGTAAAAAAAACGAATATACATACTTCATTTAGTTGAAAAAGGGGTATATGTATAGAACTTAAGTAAATGTATTAACTTTACCGGGTGCACGTGCACAAATCAGGGAAGCAGCAGAATGGGGGTCTGGAGGGATGGGGGGGGGGGGGGGGGGTTGTGTGAGGGGGTGTTACTGTATCTCCTGGGCGGAGATGAGAAGCAGCTGCAGAGTCCTCTGCTATTTCAAGCCTCTCCTCTTCCTATCCTACCCTCTCATTTTCCAAAACACTGCTTTTTCCCCCTCATATGAAGCCCTCCAGCAGCTCTGCCTCAGGCCGAGGTCGTGACAAACCGCTAAACGACCGGTTATAGGACGACTCCCAGCCCTGGTCGTGAAACCTTTACACCTTCGTTGTCGTTTTCCCATTCCTCAGCCACTCTGATGTGGACCCTCTATTCATCCCTCCTTCTCCTCCTGGCTTTCCATCTGCTTCTGACAGCAGCGTTTCTACCTGAGCGACTCGTCACACTGCCAGCCAATCAGCAGTCACTGTCCTTCTTAATCATTCTTATGACCCCCAAACCATATGCTTACAGGCTCATGGCTTTTCCACCTGCGACTATTCATAGGAATTCACAAGATGCCTTTCATGTCATTTATTTCCCCCAGATCTGCTTTTTATCACCCCGTCCTATGAATAAAACATCCTTCGAATTGAATTCATCTTGCAAATGATATCATTGACCTGCAGGAAGTGTCGGGATGCCTTAAAAGAGTCACAGTGTGAAACCGGATTTTCTGCACTGCCATTTTGATTGCATTAAAGAGTTACAGAAGCTGTTTGGGGATCAGGTGCACAGGCAGATGTTCCAGTGTCAAATGGCCTTTCGGTTATACAGCTGTCATGAAATGTAAAGGACCTGGCAGCTATGAATTATTGATGCATGAATTTCTCTCACTCATCTCATCAGCTATTCCTTTTTTAGTCCCTCTAGTTGATGTATTGTTCCTAACCCTGCCTGTTTTGTTGAGCAGTGACCTTTTTCTTTATAGACAGATTTGAGGTGTGACTAACAGGCGCATTGGTCCGTGTGATTTGATGTTACAGTGGGCGAGTTTGTGAGTGACGTGCTTCTGGTTCCAGAGAAGTGCCAGTTCTTCCACAAGGAGCGTAAGGACATGTGCGTCAGCCATCAGCAGTGGCACGGAGTGGCCAAGGAGGTAAGGAAGGAATGACTTCACAGGAAACAGTGGTAGGCTGTATCCGCGAGATAGCAAAGGGAAAATCATATGGGAGCGAAATAGGAAGTCTTAATCATTCATTTAAAGGTCTCCTATCCTATCATGCAAAATGCACTTTTTGATGTCTTTTATATATAAATATGTGTGTAGGGAACTCACAAAGTGTCAGAAAACAAAACCCTCTCTCTTTTCCTCCGTACTCAAATCTCTAAAAACGGGGGTACAAAGGAGCTGATCCAGATTTGCGTCCGTAAGACGTAATATTGGAAATGTGGCCTGGCTTGACACCCACGGCCCGATCAGAAACGTCGCTATCAGAAACAATGCCTGAAGTGTTTTGGAAGTAATATGGTCTTTGTTTACATTAACAAGCATCGCTAACGCTCAGAGCTAACCTGTACTGGAGAGAGCATGTGTAAAAATGCAGGATATAAAAAGGAACTCACCTTGTGGTAAACCCACAAGAGAAAAAGTATTTGAGCTCCATACTGTTTCAGAAACAATCCTTGAAGTGGTTTGGAACATGATATTGCGTTTCATCACGGCAGCATTTAGCTGAGTATATCAGGTTAGAATTCTGAGCAGGCATAAGCTCAGAATTACCCCCCCCCCCCCCCCCCCCTTTGTTTTTGTTTTTTTGTTTTCAATTTATTTAAAGCTACGGACCCAGAATCAGCACTTCTCTAACAGGCCTGAGATAGAGAGTATGAGGCATGGCTAGAATGGGTGATCTGTTTGGTTATTTTGAGCAGAACACTTCATAGACATGTTTTTTATATATTTGTATATATCCGAGACCCATAATATATTTCTTAAAATAGTATAATAGGAGACCTTTAACAAATGTTTCATGCCCTCTCCCTGTCATACTAGTCACCTTTTATTACCGTCCAATCTCCGGTCCCTTATATCCCTCCACCTGTCTCTGGGAGTCTCTGAGGCCCTCAGATCACAGGCTGGCTGGGAGCCCTCACATCTCAGCTGCTAATCAGATTAGTGTTGTGGCCGTAATGCAGCTAATCCCCCCTAGGCAGCTCCAGAGCCAGCCCTCGGGGGCCACTCTGACCACGACAGTAGCAGCTCATGAATCACATCAACCGTCTGCTCCTGCCTCATAACTCTTACTCTCTCCCCACACGCATCACAAACGCTCGAATCAGAGTCTCACTCGCAGACACAGATAGTGTGACATCCCGAGGCGCAAACAACCCACATTCAATATGAAGTGCGTTGCAGCCAAGCAGTAATGAATCTCACCAGTGGGAAAATCTGGGTAAGAGAAATGACTCAAAAAGTGATCTCACCAACTGCCTCTGAGATGTCGTTAAGCATGGCGGATAATCCTTGCTGCTCCGCTGGAGTTTCATAGCAGACATCAGTTACTCTGAAATGACTCCATACCTCCGAGCTGCTATGTGAAGCACAGCATTGTTGAGAAATAGCACATCAGTAAAAGGACTGCGTGACTTTTTCGAAGTGTGGCCCATTCATCATGTTAGTCCGTATGTGACAAGAGCTAGATCTCAAATCAATATGGCTATATTCTGTAGGGGGATAGATGCAGGGGCTCCTCGAAGTCTTAAAGTCAAAACTGGTTTCACATCTAGGCCTTTTATACACCTGACAAGATTGGTGAAATAAAGTATAACAGATGATGTCTTAGTATAAGATCATACATGATGGAAGTATTACACAATTACATTTGAAAGTCATATACAGGCACAATCAACAATTCAGTCATTATGTCATAAACTCATTTCTTTTTATATTTTCCTACCACTTTGATAGTCAAATAAGGCTGGCCAAAATGTAAAATGGTCCTAAAACTAAGGACCACATTAATGTCAAATCTCAACAGGCTTGCTGTACAAACTGGAATATGCTCAATATCATTGCATTATTTATTTGTATGTGTTGATTTTGAATATCTTCTTGAATAATTGTAATACTTTTTTGGAAAAAGTCTTTTTTGTTGTGCATGCATCGCTAAAAGGGATAAGAGGAAATCAATATTACCTTTTTGCTGCAGAAAACACAAAGATATTTGGATTTGTGGAGACATATAAAAATTGTGAAAATCTCATTTGTATTTAAATGTTGGCAGGTTTTGATCTTCAACCTACAGTTTATTAAAATAAATCAACCTTACTGCAGCATGTCAACAATATTATTCTCTCCCACTGCGACTAGCATGCTCCTCCATCTGGCATGGGCCTCATTGTCAATGTCGTTTTTAACTAACCTTGATGAATGAAGGTCAAACTAATGTCATCTTGTCTAAATTGAAACTCTTGAGGCCTAGAGGCTGCTTCTTCATCTCCAACTCTCCTCCTTCTGCTCCGTCAGGCCTGCTCCAAGAGCTCCATGATGCTGCACAGCTACGGCATGCTGCTGCCCTGCGGCATTGACAAGTTCCACGGCACCGAGTATGTGTGCTGCCCCTCGTCCCGCTCCGGGGAGGCTGCTCCACCTGCCATGCCCACCGAGGAGGACGATGAAGAGGAGCAGGTGGAGGATGAGGAGATTGACGAGACCGACATGGAAGAAGACTACGTCGTAGAGGACAGGTGAGCAGTCTGGGGTTGTGTGCACCATCGTGGCATGTCTTTGAAATGTTACTAGCCCAATATCCACGAAGGGCAGGTATTACTGGCCACCTGGATGAATTAAAGTGCTGTGACATTGACCTATGCCTTGTTTGATAAATCACTCCCCTTCCTGGCTTCCTCCACCTTCACTCAATCCCTCTTCTTCTTCTTCCTCAGTGAGGCACCGGCTGAGGAGCAGCCCACACAGAAGGAGGAGCCGCTGGGCGACGACGAAGACGAGGAAGAGGACGAGGAGGAGTACCACTACGTCTATGAGGACGAGGAGGCAGACAAGGAGGACGAGTATGAGAAGAAGGAGAGCCGCAAAATGCCAGAGAGCCAGGACGAGGACAAGACTCTGCAGGAAGTGAAAGGTTTGTAATGAGCTGTTTTAAATTATAATGCACCCGTCTAACTCCCCCTCTCCCTTATTGGCTCTTTGCCCACCACTTAAATATAATCAAACCTTTTTAACTTTTACACTATAGGCAGTTATGCGTAAATCTAAGTCAGACTGTAATTAGATAAGTGTATGCATCAGCAATGCCCTTTCCTCAGCTCGCAGCACTTCTGTTCTGCAGTATCAGAGTACAAGGACAAATCATCCTGCCTCATTTGTAGCCAAACTGCTGCCATTTGCTTTAGGATTTGCTCAAATGTTTGTTTGTTATTGAGACTGGAATTAAGTGCTGCCCCTAGTGGCCGGATGATCTAACCAGCTGTCCCCTGGCAGCGGTGTGCATCCTGGAGGCTGAGACCGGCCCCTGCCGAGCCTCCATGCCCCGCTGGCACTTCGACTTGAGCCAGAGGAAGTGTGTGCGCTTCATTTACGGGGGCTGTGCCGGCAACCGCAACAATTTCGACTCAGAGGAGTACTGCATGGCCGTGTGCAAGCGCCTGAGTAAGTCTCACCAGACCAAGGCTGGTCCGACAGCACCCCCTCCTCTCTTTCTGTTTCTGTCTTTGCTACAGACCCCCCCGCTGAGAACACTCTAGGGTAATATAGTTGTAGTCTGCGACTGACTTCAAGCAGAACACCTGTTCTGCAGCCTGTAGCTGTCACTCATCACACAGCTGTTATTGTCATATATCCTTTCAACACAACAATCACTATTCACGCAACATCTTATCTTTTCTTTTATTATTCCACTGATATGTTAAGTGTTGCAACTGACAATTGTTTTATTATTATAATATTGTTTTTTTAAATTAAATAATTTGACATTTTATTAAGTGAATAAGCTTAGAACAGAGTTTATTTGGTATGTTTGCTTGAAAAGTCTAATCAAAATGTTCACCCTATATAGATCTTAATGATTTCATTTATTATTTATTTAAAATATTTATTAACTACTTTATCTTTCATAAAAAAGTTGACTCATTTTAGGTTATCTTGGTAATACAAATAATTAAATTACTTATAATAACATATCTATATTTGAGGGAACAGTTGGAACATTCCAGTGTTCTATGAAATTCTTGCTCAAATTCATAATCTGCTCTACTTATTATTTATTTAAATGTCCTGATTTAAATCATAATTCTGCCATGTTTGGTCTGGATGTTCTTTAGGCCAATGTCTTGTGTTTGGACAATGTTTAGAATGTAAGACATTTAGCTTTGTTTCTTAAATTCAGGAAGGACTTTTGTAGTAAAACTTTATATTTTACTCAAAGATATACAAAATGAGTGTGGTTTTGGAACTAATACTAAATAATAAAACGATCAACTGTCCTTAAAAAGCCAAGACGAATACGTTTTTGATTGGTTTACAAAAGTCAAAGATAAATTCCCAAAGATACCAAATAAAATATACACAACATTCCTATTTTTCCTTTATATAGTGTTTAGTGATATGCATCTTCCAACACACTTGAGTTTTCTTTCTTCTCTGTTTGCATGTCAGTGTTTACTCCTGCCATTTGTTCATGTTTCTCTCTGCCTGTCTGTCTGTCTGCCTGTCTGTCTGTCTGTCTGCCTGCCTGTCTGTCTGTCTGCCTGTCTGTCTGCCTGCCTGCCTGCCTGCCTGCCTGTCTGTCTGTCTGTCTGTCTGCCTGCCTGTCTGTCTGTCTGCCTGCCTGCCTGTCTGTCTGTCTGCCTGCCTGTCTGTCTGCCTGTCTGTCTGTCTGTCTGTCTGTCTGCCTGTCTGTCTGTCTGTCTGTCTGTCTGCCTGTTTGTCTGCCTGTCTGTCTGCCTGTCTGTCTGCCTGCCTGCCTGCCTGTCTGTCTGCCTGTCTGCCTGTCTGTCTGCCTGCCTGCCTGCCTGCCTGTCTGCCTGCCTGTCTGTCTGTCTGTCTGTCTGTCTGTCTGTCTGTCTGCCTGTCTGTCTGTCTGCCTGTTTGTCTGCCTGTCTGTCTGCCTGCCTGCCTGCCTGTCTGTCTGCCTGTCTGCCTGTCTGTCTGCCTGCCTGCCTGCCTGTCTGTCTGCCTGTCTGTCTGCCTGCCTGCCTGCCTGTCTGTCTGCCTGTCTGCCTGTCTGTCTGCCTGCCTGCCTGCCTGCCTGTCTGCCTGCCTGTCTGTCTGTCTGTCTGTCTGTCTGTCTGTCTGTCTGTCTGTCTGTCTGTCTGCCTGCCTGTCTGCCTGCCTGTCTGTCTGCCTGCCTGCCTGTCTGTCTGTCTGTCTGTCTGTCTGTCTGTCTGTCTGCCTGTCTGCCTGCCTGTCTGTCTGCTTGCCTGCCTGTCTGTCTGTCTGTCTGTCTGTCTGCCTGTCTGCCTGTCTGTCTCTCACAGAGCACTGCCACTCATTTTGCCCGAACCTCACCAGCATATATCAGCAAGCATTTTTTTTGCACCTTAGAATGACTCACATTTCATCAGTTCAAACGCAGTCCATGGTCATCATAACCAATTGGCTTTTTCTTTGACATTTTGCTAAATAAAAAAGATTTTAAGAGCTGAAGCAGCAAAGTTCAAAGCAGGAACAATGCGTTAACCTCCTCCTGTTCTTGACGATGAGGTCTCTTCCGGTTTGCGAGCTTGGAGCGTTATTGTTTTTGCGAGGGAGTGAGTCCTGCGTGACTGTAAACCGAGGAACGCCAGAACGGAGCCCTCTGGCCTCGCCCCAGATGACCCAGCCGTCAAACGCAGAGACATTTCCATTAGTGTTGGAGACGCGACTTGTCAGCAGAAAGCCGATGGGAAGATGAAAGGAATTCGAAAGGAAAGACTGTCAGATTCTGTTACATTGATCAGAGTTACTGAGGGTGGAGGAACGGCAATGAGAGGAGTGCTTCTGTGAGGATTTTGGTCCAGCTTCAATCCGCCTTTCAGCTCAATTTCGCTCTGTGTCCAGTTCCCTGTCAGTCTTTGTCTCTCTGGCTAACGTTGTGCGCCTCGTCTGTCTGTCTGTTCGCCTGGTTGTCAGTTTGCAGCATCGTCCACTCACCGTTTGTTTCTGAATTTGCAGCCATGTCACCAACCCCTCAGCCCACTGATGATGTGGACATCTACTTTGAGACCCCCGCTGACGACAAGGAGCACAGTCGCTTCCAGAGGGCCAAGGAGCAGCTAGAGATCAGGCACCGCAACCGCATGGAGAGGGTGAGTTACCAGGTCCAGTCAGGACACAACACTGCTTATTAAATAGGAATTAGTACTATTTTTACCTGAAGATAATTTACAAACTTCCAAAAGACTTCTCTATATTTCAGAATGTATGTGTTTGTTTTGTACTACAATTAAAATGAAATGCAGTACATTAGTTTAACCAGACAAATTAATAAGAACATTAAAAATCCGACGTCATTGGTAAAATAAACTGGAAACTTAGCAATCAAGTGCAAAATTATGCCTGAAAGAGATATTATTATGTTAATATTTCTTCTCACCCTCTGTCTGAAACCAGAACCCAGTCTGCTCTGATTGGTCAGCTGGTTGGCTCTGTTGTGATTGGTCAACTGCTTAGAGATGTCCCGTCCCTTAGCCTATCATGTACAATGTGTTGCAGTGCTAGCCAATAGAAGCGCTTGTATTACATAATGAGGTAAACAAAAGAGGCGTTCCAGAAAATGTAAATAGAACATTCATCTCAGGTTATCACTATTGGAATACCAACCCAGTTTCAACCAATGAGTAGACTGCAGTGGGCCAAAAGAAAAAGTATTTCAAATATTTTGACCCCAATAATAATTGGAGATCACTTTGCACTTTTCTGGACTGGAAAACCAATTCAATAGAAGTTGTTGGGGTTCAGCTGAGAGGACGTGCAAATGGGCTGCAGATCCTAAAATTGATGATTGTGAATGTTGGTATTTCTGATTTTTCACAAATAAAATGCCAAAAAGAAGCAAAGTCATACTTCAAGGATAATTTACCTTTGTGCATTGGATTGAGTCGAAGTGTAAAGAATTGCTGTTTGACTCGCTTCGACTGACTGTCTTACATTTCTCTTCATTTCCGTTTCTCTCCCTGCAGGTGAGGAAAGAGTGGGAGGAAGCTGATCGTCAGGCTAAGAACCTGCCCAAGGCTGAGCGGCAGACATTGATTCAGGTAAGTCGCTGATCCGTCCCCCGGCGAGTCCCCCCTTTGTCTCCTTGTTTGGGTGAGATATGGTGGCTTACTGCCTCCGGTCCCTCACTCCCCGTGCCATTAAATATCTCTTTTCCCTGGCTGCTCTATCCTTATCACTGAGGCTAAATTAGGGCACTGTCTGAATGGGGAGACTTCTAAATGAGTCAAGCCTGAGAGGCGACAGGAGTGTAACTGAGAGGTTGAAGGGGCTGTGCCGTACTGTTGCATATAAACATTAGTTTATGTTTGTAGCACTTCCAAGCCATGGTGGAGTCCCTGGAGGAGGAGGCAGCCAGCGAGAAGCAGCAGCTGGTGGAGACTCATCTGGCCCGGGTGGAGGCCATGCTGAACGACCGGCGCCGTCTGGCCCTGGAGAACTACCTGGCTGCCCTGCAGGCCGACCCCCCCAGGGTAAACGGCACACACTGGCCTCTGAGAGCATCTTCTATCCCCTCCTCACCTCTCTCCATCTGTGTACTGCTTCTATCTTGCCTAAGTCAAACACACACATCTCTGTCAGACCACGCTCAAACCCTACTCTACTCATGGCCTGTAGATAATCTCATATGCTGTCAAAAGACCCTCTGTCAACTTGCAATTCACCATGTGGAGAATGGATTACCCTAGTCAGGAAAACACACATCCCAAAATCCTCCATGAGCACTATGTCAATCATATTTGACTAACCCTATGTTGGTTTTTTGTATTCCTCTTATCTAATTGTCTTGTTATCCTTTGCCAGCACAGAATGTGGCACTGGGTGCTGCTGGCTTCTCTTGTCCCCCAAACAGGAAGATTTACATATGTTTTATAACCTGAACTGAGAGCAGTCATTTCTAATCCTGCTTCTGTTACACCTCGGAAATTGGTCATTGCATCATCTGTGGTGTGGTGCTATTTCAGAAGGTGCTGCAGAAGGTTTAATGTCATGTCATATGCAATGAAAGCTAAGATATGTGAAGGATTTGCAAAAGATAACACATATTTTTATCTTCAGTTTTTGGGTCATATTGTTTCATCATTTAATGGTTTACTGAAGCTGGGACTGATATAATAATAATCCTTATATTTATAAGAAAATTGATTGATTGATTTTGCCATATTTAAATGACTGTGTTGATGTGAGGCAACACACATATAACTTTAAACCTTTATTTACACTAATGGCCCGTCCACACGGCGGCGTGCGTTGAAGCTTCAACGCTTCTACCCATTCACTTTGAATGGGGTGACGTCACGCTTTGCCGAACTGCATTGTGGGAGCGTCGCTTCGTTTTGCTCGTGTTGCTCGTTTCAAAAGTTGAGCAATGTTCAACTTTTGAAGCTTCGGCGGAAGCGTCAACCAATCGAATCATATGCCAGTACAAGCTCTAGCCAATCAAACCGCTGCTTGTGTGTCCGGGGCGGGAGATTCATGTGATTGGTTGTTGGTCGAGTTTCAGACACGCCCGCCGGCGAGCTTCAACGTACGCCGCCGTGTGGACGGACGCTGCGTGAAGTAATAAGCAGTGAGAATTTGCATAATGCACATCCAGAGAACCAACCAATACACTCTTAAATTAGTCAAGGCTGTTCAAGCGTAAAGATTAATTGAATGACAGACTTATTTAGTTGTGCATAAAGCAAAATACCAGAAAATATACCAAAAATATTATTTTAAATTCAGAGGACGAGCATCAGTTTGCACAGACTTCTTTAAAGCAGATGTGTTTCTCTGAAGTTAAAGGAGACCTATCATGCTATATTTGAATAATATATTGTAGGGCCATACCTATAGAAGGTCTATTTATACATTTTCTTTTTCAAAATACCAAACAGATCATGCATTTTAGCCATGCCTCATTTTGCTCTATTTTGCTCTCCTCCACCCCTGTCTGACCACGCCCCCCTGCAAAGGAGGGGGCCGAGTTACGAGCGTCATGTTACCATGCTGTTACCATGCTGTTACCATGCTGTTACCATGCTGTTACCATGCTGTTACCATGCCACAGCAACCTCTCATTCCCCTGATAGGTGGAGAGTTGGCCATATAGGCGGAGCTCCTCGTCACTGACGTCAGACTATTTTCAAATCTGTATCAGTCTGTATCAGATCCGTTGCAGCCCCGTTTATAGAGATTTTGGGTATGGAGGAAAAGAGAGAGGGTTGTGGTTTCTGACACTTGGTGAGTTCCCTGACACACCGGGACACATATTCATGTATAAAAGACTTACAAAGGTGCATTTTCCATGATAGGTCCCCTTTAAACCGGTGAACCCTTTACCAAATGATTTAAAGGCCTGGATGAACATATATAAAGAAAGAATAATTAGACAGTATGAGGATGTCAGGTAACCTGTTTCGCTGATGGTCGATTGTTGTGTTGAGCTTTGATAGTGTTTTTAGTTTCATGTTATTTGAAGTATGCAGCTGTGATTGAAAATGTACCCTACTCCTTTCCATCATGGCCTGCAAAAACTGCTTGAAGTCTACATGTTTGGTTTCATAATAATTGCCATGATTGGAATAAAATAACAAATCTGAAGGGATTGACACAAGAAGAAATTGCTGTCATGTAAATGATACCAACACAAAACAGGATTATTTCATCAGATCCATCCATCATGGTACACAGAAATGGTTATGAGGCTGTTTCACCACCCGACACTTCTAATAACCGCTGGTCCTCCCACTCCATGTCCCGCTCAGCCCCACCGCATCCTGCAGGCCCTGAGACGCTACGTGCGCGCCGAGAACAAAGACCGCCAGCACACCATCCGCCACTACCAGCACGTCCTGGCTGTGGATCCTGAGAAGGCTGCTCAGATGAAGTCCCAGGTCAGTGTTGTGATACCAATGAGCCGGATTTGACAATGGTGAAAATAAAAATCATAGGCTTCTAGTGCCCAAGGAGTCCCATTGCTAGTTTTGTCCAATCAACCATCAAAACACCCAATATATTCCATTTACATCTAAGAATCTGAAACCAGCAAATGTTTGACATTTCTGTTGGAATACATTATCTCAGATTTGTACCATTTATTGGTTATCCACTTTGAGGTCCTTTAGCTCTGTATAATCAATGTGGTTAATTGCTACCTGTCAATAATTTGAGTTTTGCAGCCGTTCTGAGCATTACTGCCAGTAAATATGAAACCTCATTCTGTGAGATCTCACACTCAGACAGGGAGTGATGTCTCAGCCTAACGACGTCTCAGCCTGCTCCTCGCTGCCCTGTCTTCTAAGTGTGTAGGAGGTAGAAAGAGTGTGTTTCTCTGAGTTGAAGCCCGGGAGGAGTGAGTAGGCTGGCTCGTCTGACGGAGAGGGAGGGCGGCTTGTTTCATTCACTTAAGCCCCAGCCGAAGATTAACATTGTGCAGGTCTTGTGTAACGCCGGACTCGGGGATTTGGCTGGAAGCTGCTCTGTTAGATGTACTCTCCTGTTTGTGTGAGTGCCCTCCGACACCGTTACAGATGGATGAAACAACATAGTGAGGCAGGGAGAGGACCTGGAGGGTTACTATTTAGATGAATGGTGGGATCTGGGAGGTGGGGAGCCTCTCTGCTCAGTCATGGGAAACAAATCTCTATTGTTGTGCTCTCACGATGTTCATTTGTGCAGCCTAGTTCCTCTGTGTTTCTTCACTCAGCCAGTCCTGCAGCACGTTCAAATCTCGATGTAGTATTTGCAACTGTTTGTGGATTTGACTTCTTTTACAAAATAATGATTTGTAAACAGGAGGCTGTGCTTTATGTAACAGTTGCTGGGATTATAGATATGTATTTAAAGCCTCATCTCTCTGAGCGAGGTTCCTTGATACAATAAAAAGATATACTCCGAACACATGTCGTTTTTAAAATCAGGATTGTTTGTCAAACATCAACATGAAGTTGCCACAGGGGCTGCGTAATGCTTTTCATTTTGAAAGGTGCGTTATTGCCATCTGTTGCTGGCTCCGGTGCACTGCAGCTATGTGTAGGCAGATCAAAACACAGTCAGCCATCAGAGTTGGGTTTGAAATAAACACCAGTAACCTGCAAAAGCTGGTGAGCTTTTAGTGGCTGCTAGTTGTTTTATTCTGCCAACCACTTCGGCAGCGGAATGTGGAACTGAAGTCTCTAAACCTCACAGAAACGGTTACAGAGACGGGAGAAATTATTATTGGATGGAAAAGAGTGTGTTGCTTTACCCAACGTGTGATGTGGTGGTAGTCTGACAGGCAGTGGATCCTGTCACGGCGGTTCAGAGCTTCAACACTGATTTGAATATTACATGCAGCAACTTGTTTTATGTCTGCCAGATGGCTGGCTGTGTGCGTGCGTGTACGAGTTCATTTTAAGAAAAAAAATTCCAGAGTAGAAAGCACATTTCTGACACTTCTGTTTACATCTGAGAAGAAGAACAACTCTCTTCCTTTAGAACATTTATTTTCGGGGCTAGCTCCCGCTCCACAAAATGTCTACTATAGTAATTGATTACATTTATGCAATTATACAGTCTATTCATACTGATTTATAGTTGTTTTGCACATGCATCATGACATGTTGTTTACTAAAGGAAGCTTCTAGACACAATACCTCTTCTTATATTCTTGATTTTCTTTTTCTTCTCTTCTCACTTCTATTATCTCACCGCACCACCACGCTCTTCCTGCCTCCCTTTGCAAATCTCCAAACAGAGGAGCCCAGACTGTATTCTGCGATAGAACCTCGGCAGTAAATCAATAAACTCGAGAGAATTTCAGGGGGTTTTCCGGGATAAGGGTGTATTTTCTGCTTCATTCATGTAAGCTTGTGAATAAATACTGTCGGGATGAACATTTGAGACCAAATCACTCTGTAATTAGTTGTCACTGGATTAGTGTCAAAACGATGTTTCAGTTTAATGGATTTGTCAAACGCTAGAAAATGATCCATCAATTTTAATGAATGACTTTTCATTTGAAGTATTTAAACAATTCCCATGTCTCTAATGTGAGGATTTTTTCTTATATCATTAAAATGTGTTTATCACTGATAAACTAAGACAACTCCTTGGTTTTAGGACAATACATCTCTTCTGTTCTGGAAGTAAATGGCACGATTATCATTAAAAGTCTTGATTTCTTTATTTTTCTTTGAATTATCCAACATCATTCCCATACAGGAAAGTACTTTCACTTTGATGTCCTCCTAAAGCAGGATTATGGTTACATAACTTCCTGTTTGTCTGTTTTCACGAGCCCAGGTGACGACCCACCTACGTGTGATCGACGAGCGGATGAACCAGAGTCTATCTCTCCTCTACAAAGTACCTTATGTTGCCGAGGAGATTCAGGATGAAATTGGTGAGTCGTGTTCAGTCGAAAGCCCAGAGGCAGCTTTGAGGAGGAAGGGTGTTATAAGAATAAAGTGAAATGAAAACACTGATGAAATTCACACATGTGCCAGACAGATAAAGCCAATATATTACATCTCCTCTGACTCTCAGTGATATTTCTTTCTTATATTTGGTGCAAACAGACAAAAATATAGGAGGAGACCGGTAGAAGGGCTTTAGTGCCGTCTCTAAACCAATTGTCAGAGTCTAATGTTTTTTTTTTTATCTCAGTATGAGTTTGTGCAAGGAGATGTAATACTCTTTGTTTTTAGAATTCTCACCTCGCCAGCTCTAGTTTTTACTAGCAGATCTGGAACCTGTATTTCCAGTGCTACAAGTCTGTTTTTGTTTGCTGCAGAGCAGATTAAAGCAGAGCGGGTGCAGTGACAGAACTGGGTCACCATGGCAGCCTCCTGTTGGGAGATGTGCAGATTTACATGGAAAATAGCTCTCGGAATATTAGTAATTAGCCGTTAGCAGGAATGGGAACCGACGTCTCCAGCAACAATAATTGAGTGAAACTGGTTCTGCTGCCATGTCCCAGGGTTACAGGTGTTTCACATGTGCCAAGGCGTCTCATACTAATTTCCCTTTTTTCCGCAGACGAGCTTCTCCAGGAGCAGAAAGCCGACATGGACCAGTTCCTGTCGTCCATCTCTGAGTGGCAGCCAGATGTCACCGTGTCGTCGTCGGAGGAAGAGGAAAGCGTGGAGGTCCCCGTGTCCGAGGGGAAACCCTACCGGCCCGTCCAAGTCAAATCCCTGGGCTCCCGTCCAGAACTAGAAGGTGAGCGGCTCCAGCCTCAGACACAGGCAGCATGGTGAACAGCTCTGTGTGCAGGACGAAAGCCCCTACACATAAGTCAGTCTGAAGGACATTGGCAACAAAGCACGCCAGAACTGTCGCACAGTGAGGTTTACAATGTGTTTTATGGCGATGCAAATGTGCTGTGGAGCCATGGTGTTTATCTGTGCCTGCACAGTTCCCTGTGGCCTTGCCTTCAACGCAGCACTACTGAAACTCAGATAAATGCACAATGCCTCAGGCTTTGGTGCTGAGCTGGAGCCAAAAGCTTAGGAAAGAAAATGAGCAGTTATGGCTCTCTTTGTCACATTTGCGCCAAACAAAAGATGAACCCTCAAGGAGAGAAACAAGTGATGGAAAGCTTCAAGCATTATGGAAGGCACATCACCAGTTAACCCCAGAGGAACATTTCATATACATGCCAACACCCCAGAGGGCTCAGACAAAGCCAGGCAGTTTTGAAATGGCTCCCTTTCGGACACTTCCCTGCTGAACTCTCTTCCTGAATCAATTAACACAGCTTGATAATCCTTTTCTCTTCTCACCTAAGTTAACTCTCTTCTCTCCTTTCCCCCTTTTCTTTTTTTTCTGTTGCTCATTTCTAATGCCAAGGCGATCTATCAGACTCCCCACGTGCCTTCAAGAAAGGTTGGTGCCTCTGTTGCGTCTTGTTTTTCCACCTACTCCTCATTCCTCATTTACTATTTTGTTCCACTCTTCTCCTCTCCCTCGGTGCTCTGGTATCCTCCCTCTCTCTACCACCATTTATATTTTATCAAATGCCATCTGGTAGTTCATTTTCTCATTTTTCGCTGACTCATACTGGCTGCGTGTTTGGGTTTTTCAGTTGCTCTTATGCTTTTCATTATACTGGGATTATCACCTCATGCTGAAAAGTCAAGCAGTGGCATCTAAAGTCTGGTCGATTTGGTTCCAGCCTCCTCTCAGTCACCTCAGTCGCGTGTTGGCTGTCAGCCTGTCCTCAGTATACATTTGTCAAACCACCTCTTAATTATTCCTCCTCCCTCAGACTCATTCCCCTCATCAGTCGCCCTCTTTCTGACGGGAGCTGTGTGATTTAGTGGCCCTGTCTGCGGCTCCGTGTTCCTGCCGCTGACCTACAGCCCCATCTAAATTTGGCCCAATTTGTCCTCCAAGATCTGAGACAGCGGCTTGGTGACGTCACCTGTTTTGTCTGATCCGGACTTAACCTTGTGGCCTTACTCAGTGAACACAAAGACACCTTAATCTAATAGTTGAATCTAAAATATATATGGATTTTCTTTATTTTTAAATGGATGCACACCCTTCCCTGCTGTTTGATCCATAGTCTACAGAGCTCCTCAGGGGGCACACCGTTGAAAATAAATCAATGTGTAAATATGTGCTTTTGGATAAACATTTAAATATACAAATTAAACCAAAATGTCAGCACTGTTGTACCAAAAGCATACAGAGACCTAAATCAATAGCATTGAAAACTAAATGGGAATAATATGGCCCCTTTAAACTTGGAAGTCACTACACTGCATGATTTAAATATAGCTCTTTTAAATTGATACTGTATTAGAGAAAAAGTGCAAAACGGTCCCAAAATGTAGGCTACTATTCAGTATCACAGAATCATTACCTTTAGAAATATGTGTCTATTGTGATACACAGCAGATCAAATAGTGATATTATGTTAACCCAATGATAAACTGTGAATTGTATGGGTGTCCACATCGATTTCTTGTTTTTTTTACAATGTGATCCCAGTACTAGTATAGAAAAATAAGAAAGAAAATCAGCAAGAATTTCAACATTCGGACACAGCAAATACTGACATGTGTTTGATAGACGATTCAATTGCTCTGTCGATTGACTGATCAATTAATGGACTAATTGTTTCAGCACTTTTTCAAATCAATGCAGAGGAGAAGTCATTGCTCCCATAGAGGTCACACCCATTGTGCTGCGTGGTATTGTGTGTACACTGCTGTACCGTCTGATAACCTGCCGGAGCTGCAGACGTCACTCCAGCTTGAGTAACCATTCGTAACCGCACACCATTGTTCCTCACTTAATCCAAAGGCAATTGTACCAATCTTTAGTGTGTGGCGTTGGCTGACTAGCAGACAATAAGCAGACGGTGGAGTCCTCGCTGCTGTACATCGCTCAGGACGCTGCCCTCACTGGCCCGCTTTTTCTCTCACTTCCTGATTTATTCATGGCATATCTAGTGTGTATATTAATAGATCCTATGCCTATTTCGAAACCATCAGTCCAACAAGCATATTCCACTATCTGGCCCAGTTTTTGAATGATCATCTGTCAAAACTCAAGGGATCTTTTGATGAGAAACTACATTGATGCTGAGTTCTGGCCATAACATTGGAGATAAGTGAAGGGTATTAAAATCCAGGATGTAAATTGTTAAGAACAGTCTCATTTAAAGGGGCCCTATTGTGCTTTTCCCTTTCCTGTAGTGTGTTATATAGGTTTGTGTGCATGTAAATGGTCTCCAAAGACTAAAATCCCCAAATGTCCTTCCAGAGCTAGTTTCTCTTCCACACACTCCTGCCTGAAAAGCCTCCATTGTTTACTTCCTTAACATAGTGATATCACTATTTAGTACTAGCGCTTCTATTGGCTAGTGCTCCAACACATTGTACATGATAGGCTAAGGGGCGGGACATCTCTAAGCAGTTGACCAATCACCACAGAGCTGGCCAGCTAACCAATCAGAGCAGACTAGGCTCTGGTTTCAGACAGAGGGTGAAAAGAGGTGCTGCAGCACAGGCAGTATGAGAAATATAGAGATCTCTTTGGACATTAAAGCATGGAGACATGTCACAGTACAGACACACAATACAAATATGAACCTGAAAATGAGCAGAATAGGGTCAATGGATGTTTATAGAGCATGCTAAGCACTACTTTGAGGGGGCCTTTGTAGAAAAAGTATGGTCAGTGTGGTGTTGGCGTCACAGTGCTCACACTGTGCTGAGTGGAAGAAAGGGCTTTGTTGTCAGCAGTGCAGTGAGGAGACTGTGGTGACAGTGGTGAGGAATAGAGCTGGATATCTATGTGCAGCTGTCCACCATCAGTACCCATCCCTGTGTGTGTTAGTTTGTTTGTGCTGCTCTGCTGTTATTGACGGTGCTCCTTTACCTCCCGCAGGCTCCGCCATGTCTGGTTTAGATGGTCTGATAGGTGCTGAGGAGAGAATCATCAACAGCAAACCCAAGATCAGCAACAATGTGGTAAGAGCTTCGCTGCCGCTTCATCGTTCTGTTTTGTGCTTCAAAGCTTTTTCTACAACGCGCAAACTGAGAGCAGAATTGTCAAAGCAGGAGAAATAGTGTTAAATATTCAAATGTATTCCCTGTGTTAAATATCATTACAGTTTCAAAAAAGTACACAGTGCTTTTGCATGTTTACCTTTGGCCTCTGCAAACCAACCCTTATCCACATTATCGCCACACGTCGCATGCTATGTTTTTTATTTGCCAGACACACCTTTCTTTCTTGTGTTTTTTTGTTTATCGTTGCTTGGCTGCAGAATGCTGTGTTTCGCATGCTAATCCAACACCAACTGCAAAGCTGTGTACTTGTATGTGTAAATATGCCAGTTTTTGAATGCATGCATGTTTCTTTGTTTTGTTTTTTGAAGTCCTCTAAGACGGAGCAATCTGAGGTTTTAAAAATAACAAATGGCGACTAAACGCCATCCTTTGTTCCCGTGGGACTCTGGACTGCTCTGTCTCTACAATCAGCAGATTTTGTTTCTGCCTCCTGAACACACCCACTTCCACTCACAGCGCTTCTTCTTTAGACTAGAGCTCTCAATAATGAAAGTAAACTGTGTGCCGAGGGGAAAGTCTGTTGTTGATGCCTGCAAACCCCCCCCCCCCCCTCTCTCTCTCCTCCCAGTTTGTACAAGACAGCTCCGAGTGTATCATCACACAAACACAGATAATCTCTACAGTTTACTTCGCTCCACATTCACACCCTCTTGCTCTCCGCCTGCCTATCTCTCCCTCTCTTCCTCTCACTATCTATCTCACACACATACGATCTCTCACACACTTTGCGTAACCTGGGCTCCCCTGTCTGTGTTGACAGGTGATTGATGAGTCTCTGGATGTTAAGGAAGTGATTTACAGCGCAGAGAGAGTCAGAGTTATGCATGATGATGAGCTGGTGAGTATAGCGGTGCCCTCCACAGGGCTCTCTGGGGAACTGTAGTTACGAGTAGTGGGGAGAAGATGAAAGAAGGAGGGAGTGTGGGAGTGTGCAAATATACCGGTACTGCGGCTGAATACAAAATAATTTAAAAAAAGACACAGCTTTGGAAAAGATCCCAAATCCACTTTTTGTTTCTGTTTAGGCTAATATGTTTTGGTTATTTCTGCATGAGTGCATGTTTGTTATGTGACTGTATTGGAATGTACACATTGAATATCTCAAGTCATTATGATGAATGTGAATCCACACAAACTGAGTGTGGTCGGTTTATGTGTGAGAATGAGCAGTAAGAAAAGTGGCTTCACATATGATTAGTTTGTGTCATATGTGCCAGATCACATTGTGAGTGTAGGTGACTTTGTGTTTATACTGAATTGGAAAAGAATCTTCCACAAAGACACATTTCATGCATGTGTACACACTATCACGAGTCAGTCATGTCTTACATTGGCTTATATTTTAAAGGGAAATTCTTGTACGTGTAGAGCTGCTCTTATGTTTGTTCTATTATGACTATTGATCCTGAGAACAGTTTACTCATAGCCTTCGCTGTAGATATTTGGAAACACAGATTCAAGCAAGAACACTATTGATCCGGCCGAGGAGTGCGAGCCCACCGCAACAATCAAACTTCTCTTTGAGTCGGACTGAAAGTAAACAAAGACAGGCGTGCATTTGAAATACATTTACTGTAGCTATTGAAGTAACCTACGCAGCATTGCAAATCCACTTTGTGCATGTTAGAAAATAAGCAGGAAACACAAAAAGATAATATGCGTCAGCTGGGGAGGAGAATATATAAATCCTTGAAATAAATTGAATATAAGGAATATCCATTTTTGGGATAATTATGGATATCCTCAGGAATTACTCGCACAAGCTGTCTAGCTTGCTTTCATAAAAGAAAATGGAACAGAAAACCTGATTTGAAAAATGCCTCATTGTGTGCTTTATGTGTGATGCAATAAAACGTTTTTTTCTTAACATAATGTAGGGTAAAGTGATTCCAATTATGTTTTAGTGCCATTTGAGATTGAAGCATCATTTGATCATAATCAAGATAATATGGAGATGTGCAATTTGTGCAATACTACAAATATTAAAAGTGGATATTAATGTGTTTATGATCATTGGTCATAATAGAAAAAATGAATATGAGAGTCAGACTTGAAATACATTTTGAGGTGTCTTTATTCAAAATGGTCATATAGCAGCATGATAACAAGAATTTGAAAATCTATTCAGCATATGAAAAAATACCCGATCAAGATAACTAGTATATGTGTACAATGTCTTAATTTGTACCTCTGCTGTGTCTGACAGTATTGTTGTTGCTCTCCCACCTGTTTCCCCTTAGGAGACCTACCGCCCCCTGGGAGAGGACTTCAGCTTCGGCAGCACTGCGCTGATCGGCCTGCTGGTGATCGCGGTGGCCATAGCAACCGTGATTGTGATCAGTCTGGTGCTTTTGAGGAAGAGGCAATACGGCACCATCAGTCACGGCATTGTGGAGGTAAGGCACCTGTTACCTGGATCTCAAAGAAGTGCGATCAGTCTTATTCCTGGTGTCAGATTTCAATAGAATCGTCAGGGGTTATGTAAAGGGGGTATGGGTCGATGTCAAGCAAATTAGATCATTGTCCCTGCAGCATTTGCATACGATCCACACAGCATATTGTAAGTGCACTCTGACCTTGTTTGAGTGCAGGAGTTAACATACATTTACATTTGCTTACACATGCTTTTGTTCATCTGTTCCTGGAATGTCTATATTAATTATTATAGTGACACTTTACTATCACTTTTTTTCCTATTGAAAAATATATGAACATTTTAGCATGAAAGAATATTATCTAAGAACATTTACGTCAACTCTTTCATTCAAACTATATAATTCCTACAATATTTATATATTTTAAAACGGAAAAAACAAATAAAGATAACAATATAACAAAGACAAATATGCACAGAAAGACTGTAAATTAAAGAGGACATATTATGCAAATGTTCAGCTTCATATTTGTATTTTGGGTCTCTATTGAGACATGTTTCCATACTTTAATGTTAAAAAAAGCTCTTTATTTTTGTCATGGCCTGTGCTGAACCTCTTTTTACCCTCTTGTCTTAAAACCAGAACCAAGTCTGCTCTGATTGGTTAGCTGGCCGGCTCTGTTGTGATTAGTCAACCACTTAGAGATTTCCTGCCCCTTAGCCTACAGTATTTAGGACTGCTAGCCAATAGAAGTTGCTATTTTAGCCTTTGCAGAGCATTTACATGCACAAAAAACGATATCACGCATTACAAGGAAAAGGGAACATTTGAAATAGCATAATAGGGCCCCTTTCAAAAAGATGGCATGGTGTGATGGTGCCCCTGTTTAGGTCAGCCATTAACAGTGTGCTTGTCTCACAGGTTGACCCCATGCTGACACCAGAGGAACGCCACCTCAGCAAGATGCAGAACCACGGCTACGAGAACCCCACCTACAAATACCTGGAGCAGATGCAGATCTAACAAGAGCCTACAGGGGGCGCTGTGGAGTCACAGAGGGGGAACATACTACTGACCAATAACATATGCTATTGTTAAAATCATTTGCGTACATCCAAACTCCATTTACTGGTTTGTTCGAAACAATCCTTAAATATTGCTACTACTGCTACTACTGCTACTATTGTACTATAGAGCTCTTTTTGATTTCAAAAGGTGATGTATCTGCCATTTTTGCATTACGGAAAATGTAATTCTGCAGATTTCTCTGTAATTATCAATACAACTCTCTTCAGATCAAGATGTATAACAATTCTTCAGACGTTTTCTTTCTTTTTTTTTTAAGTAAAAGGCAAATCAAACAACATTTAAATGTATTTGAGTGGCCATCATCGAACCGGCATACCAGACACTACAGTACTAATTTTCATCATGCAGGTGTCCTTCATGCAGTTTCTGATGGTTTCTCTCAAAAAAGAATTGGTGTTTTTATTTTGTTTCTTTTTTCCTCTCAATAGATTGCCTGTATATGAAGGTTCTTTGTACCGATTAAAATGTATAGTGAAACAACAAATGAGAAAAAAATGAAATCATGAATTATTTACTTTCCGTTCTTTGTTATGATAACAGACAAAATATACATATACAGTTTAAATATATATATATAAGAATAGATGTTTTTAATTCACCTTTTGTTTTCCCAGGGAAGAGTCAGTTTGGGGTTCTGAGCTTAGCGGTCATGAGTCGTGTTTGCAGGCACACTGTAAGAAAGAGTCAGGGAGGGGGGAGGTGTGCACAGACCCCCAGCTCAAACACATCACACAAAACCTACTCTAAACCCTTACTAAGTGAATGTGATAACATTTCCCCCCTACAACACACAACCACTACCATTTATCAATAGGGAAACAGCAAACATTGGTAGATTAAATATTGACATGTGTTAGTTACATAGTTGAATGTATCCTGGAAGCTTTTTTTCCCATACATGGCTTTGATTTAGTGACAGCGGGCGATGACATTTGTTTGTTTTTGTTTTTTTGTACAAATTATCTGTAGCAAAAACCAAGCACCAGAAAAATGACTTAAAAAACTAATGTAGGTATGATGTACACACATTTTGGAGCAGCTGTTGGCTTTGCTGGTCATAAAGCGTAACAGTCTGATAGATCAACACAGGGCCGGTCTAGGGGCACTAACAATACAAGGAGCACCATAGAGAGGGCCCATCTGCCACCAGGGGGCCCCCAATGAGAGAGAATGTAGCTTATACAAAGTTTTCTGACCCTGAACATACAAATTTGGGGATTGTTAGAAAATAATTCTGGTGGATAGTTTGTTTAATATGTTGGGGACTTAAACAATCTAGATGTTCAGATGTATGGGTAGACAGAAAAGCAAGTGCCGGCCCTGGATCAAAGCCAATTGAAGACAACTTGGAGCTGGAGGGCTGTGCAGGCAGACAGAGACACACAGAAAGACAAGGCTTGGAGAGCTGGTTTTTACAAACAAAATAAAAAGGCTAACTTGTGTGTTTTTACAGGTAGAGAATGACACAAACAAGTCAACTGAATCCTAGAATCCTCTTTTCTCTCTCTCTTAGTATTGTCTTTGTATGCCTGTATAGTTGATGTTGCAATCATGGTTTTTTTCCGGAGGATTACCTGTGGTGTGCATTGTTCTTATATGAAATGATATGATATATATTTTTAAGTTTGTTTTCTTGTTTTCTATTTTTTCCTCTTCCTGTGACAGTATCTCTGTATGTGACTGTCTCACTATGCACCCAAACGGCTTCAATCTTGTAACTGCCTGCTTGATTGTGGGAAGGGACTGGGAACTAATGTGTATATTAGTGATTTTAAAAAGAAATGTGATTGACACCAATGGAAACAGACTTATGGTTACAGGGGGGATACACATCAATAAACTCACAACTTCCATATGAATGTGTCGTCTTTTCATTGATGGATTGATAGAATTTTCAAAATTTTCAATTATTGTATTATTTAATGGGCCAAGACAAATTAAGGTACACATTAATTTAGGGCTGAAGAACATTTGCATAACATTTAATTACATTGTCAATTTTCTTTTATTAAATTGTACAATTTGACATATTTATATTAAAAAAAAATTGTAGCTGGACAATCCCAAAACCGTAAAATATGTAACAAGTATCGAACAAGGCAATTCGTATTCAAGGAACTGGAGTAATTTTTTATGACGAATGATTATCAAAACAGCTTTTAATTAGTGTACTGTTTATTTACTTACAAGTAATCGTTTCATTATTTTAACTGCATGTGTGTTTGCATTACAATTGTAGTAATTATTGTTTTATTTTACTCGAAATACTCTTTATTGGAAGTTGTAATAGGTCCCATATATTGTACAAAATAAGTATAGATGCCCAGCGATGGGAAGTAACATTTACTCAAGTACTTAAGTACAATTCTGAGATAGGCCTACTTGCAGTGGCGGCGCCAGGGTATGGCTGGGGTAGGCTACAGCCATAACAAGAAATGGCTAAGCCTCACCATGAAAAATGATGTTAAAGTAAGCAAAACAAAGTCCGCCAACTCGCGCCGAGTAAATTGCACAGACAGCAGTTAGTAAGATTGATTTCAGTAGTTAGCGTCACATATGTATCCGTTGTAGTGCCGTGAAAAGAGAGTCGGAGGCGGTGTATTAAGAATGAAGTTCCAATCTTTATTATCCATTAATATCAGAGAGGTTAACACATGCACTGCTCTGCCTGATGAGCTAGCAGGAATGGCAGCTAAAGCTACAGGTGTTCCCCACTAATGGGTCCATGTGGCAACACAATAAGCAAGGTGAATTATGGTGTCACCACACAAGCCCCCCCAGAATTCACACATAAACAAAATCAGCATGGCGGGGAGGAACGACACGCCGACCCCCACGACTCCTGAGCACGGGAGTCGGAAAAGTGACTTCCGCCTGTGCGGCCCCCGGAAGGGGAGGGACCGGAACAACAGGTCTTAAATCCGTGACAGGGGACGAGGCCGGGGGGCGGCCCCGTCGCGGAGGTCGAGCCAGCACCACAGGCTGGTCCAAGTCCAGGTGAGCAGCCTTCACCCGGTCCACCGAGACGTGCTCGGCCCTGCCACCCAGGTCGACCACCAGGTGCTTGTCCCCGTGCTCCAAGACCCGGAAAGGCCCATCATAAGGGGGCTGCAGGGGGCCTCTGTGCGCATCGTGCCGGATGAACACGTGCTCCGCCGAGCGGAGCTCTGCGGGAACCTGGGACACCTGAGTACCGTGCTGAGTAGCAGGGATCGGAGCAAAGGCCTCAGCGGCGTACTGCAGGAAAGCCCGCTGGGCCGACGCCGACCAGGGAGCCGATGCGTTAGGGAGGAAATCCCCTGGAACTCTCAATGGCTGCCCGTAGACCATCTCAGCCGTAGAGCACTGCAGGTCTTCTTTAGGCGCAGTCCTCAGGCCCAGCATCACCCAGGGCAGCTTGTCGACGCAATTCCCGTCCTTAAGGCCGGCTTTGAGGGCCGCCTTCATGGAGCGATGGAAGCGCTCGCAGAGGCCGTTAGCCTGAGGGTGGTAAGCGGTAGTCCTGTGCAGCTTAACCCCCAAACCGCCGGCCACGGCGTTCCAGAGTTCGGATGTGAACTGAGAGCCCCTGTCTGAGGAAATGTCCGACGGGGTGCCAAAACAACACACCCACGTTGCAATGAAGGCCCGGGCAACGTCCGCGGCCGACGTCGAAATGAGCGGGACCGCCTCCGGCCAACGGGTCGTCCTGTCCACCATGGTGAGGAGGTAGGAAAAGCCCTGAGAGGAGGGCAATGAACCAACCAGGTCGATGTTGACGTGGTCAAACCTCCTCTCAGGCACCAGGAAACGCTCCAAAGGGGCCTTCGTGTGGCGGTGCACCTTAGCGCGCTGAAAAGCCACGCACTCACCAGCCCAAGTCCTCACTTCCTTTTTCAGCCCATGCCAGACGAACTTCGCGGCCACCAAGCGCACCGAAGGCTTAACGCCGGGGTGTGACAGTCCGTGCACTGCCTCGAACACAGAGCGCCTCCAGCTGGCGGGAATGACTGGCCGCGACAGGCCTGTGGAGACGTCACACAGGAGGGTAACGCCCGCGTCGCCGAACACCACGTCCTCCAAGCGCAGCCTCGCGCCCTCCACCTTCAGAGCCTGGACGCCGGGATCTGTGACCTGGTCCGCCGCCATGCAAGTATAGTCCAGGCCCCTCTGGACGACTCCGATGACGACTCTGGAGAGGCAATCTGCAACCAGGTTCGACTTGCCAGCCACGTGCTTAATGTCTGTGGTGAACTCAGAGATGTAGGAAAGCTGCCGCTGATGACGTGCCGACCAAGGCTCCGCCACTTTAGACATGGCGAAAGTGAGTGGCTTGTGGTCGACACACGCCGTAAACTCCCGGCCTTCCAGCATGAAACGGAAGTGCCGCACGGCCAAATAAAGACCCAGGAGCTCCCAAAAGCGCTGTACCTGCGTTCTCTGGGCGTCAGCTGGCGGCTGAAAAAGGCGAGCGGCTGCCAAGCGCCCTCCACCCACTGCTCGTGCACCGCGCCGACCGCGTAGTCCGACGCGTCCGTGGAGATGGAGATGGGAGCCGTAGATGATGGGTGTGCCAGCAAAGCCGCCTGAGCCAATGCGGTCTTGACCTCAGCAAAAGCGACGTCCGCCTCTGCCGTCCAGTCGATCGCCTGGACGGGGGTCTTGCCCTTCAATGCTTCATACAGCGGCCGCATGATGTGTGCGGCCCGGGCGATGAAACGGTGGTAGAAGGTCACCATCCCCAGAAACTCATGGAGCGACCGGGCTGTGAGCGGGCGAGGAAAAGCCGCAACAGCCTCCACCTTCGCCGGCAGAGGTGCCGCACCGCCCTTGGTGACGCGGTGCCCCAGGAAATCAATGTCAGACACCCCGAACTGGCACTTTGCAGGATTGATGATTAATCCGTTGAGCCGCGTGAAAAGGGCTCGGAGGTGGGACAGGTGCTCCTGCACTGAAGCGCTGGCGACGAGTATGTCGTCGAGGTAGACAAACACAAACGGCAGGTCCCGCAGCACCGAATCCATCAGGCGCTGGAACGTCTGAGCAGCATTCTTGAGTCCAAAAGGCATCCGCAGGAACTCAAAAAGTCCAAAAGGCGTTATCACTGCTGTCTTGGGAATGTCCAGGGGCCAACAGTCTGAGAAGCGTGTCTGCCCCCGACAGCGAGCCCGACAGCCCGTCGTCATATGCTGCGCTGCCAAGTGTGCACACGAGGGAAGAAAACGTTAGGCATTAACCAAACGCCTATTCTTAACGTCCACTAAGAGTCCATGAGCACACAAAAAATCCGCTCCGAGGAGGGGAAAAGAAATGTCAGCTGTCACAAAATCCCAGCTGAAACGCTGTCCTCCGATGCACAAACACATAGGCCTCACGCCGTACGTGCGAATGGGACCACCGTTAGCCGTCGTCAATCGTGGTCCGTGCCCACCCCGGGTGACGTCTTCACTCGACGCTGGAACTACGCTCCGTTGAGCGCCCGTGTCACACAGAAACAGGCTCCCCGAAACGCTGTCCCTGACGAAGAGGAGCCTGCACGTGCCGCAGACGCTCAGGGCCACTACTGAGCGCCGGCCCCTCCGTTTCCCGGGGGTTTGTAGCTGCACGGGGCGATGCATTTCTTCGCCATTGTCCCGAAACGTGTGTGGTAAAAGCACTCTCCGGTGTATCCACGCCGGCTCGATACAGCCGTGTCCTGCCTCCGCCACACTTTCTTGACTGCAGATGGGCCGCTGAGCGTCGCGGCTAACGTCTCTGCACCGGGCTGTTGTGTAGCAAGGAAAAAACGATCTGCTTCCTCAGCCAAGGCACGGGGCTCCGTGACAGGCATGTTGGCCAGCGCCGTGTTGGCCAGCGCCGTCTGGACCCGGGGAGGCAAGTGACGCAGGAAAATCTCCGTGAATAGAATCCGGGGATCTTCCCCCCCCTAGCAGATTTAGCATTTTCTCCATTAGCTGGTTTGATTGATTGATTGAAAAGTTTATTAACAGCTTGTATATTGGGTACAGTACAGTACAGCTCAAAACATACAATTGTTAAGGGGATGCAGACCAGAGAAATACTTTCGTCTTGTTTACATCAGGGTCCCCCATTTCCAATTCATCATAAACCGGGAAGGCTTGCTGTCTCCTAGGCCTTGAATGTCAAGTATCTGGCAGGCCCTCTCCTTAGCAGATAAGCTAAATGTCTTAAGGAGAAGGGCCTTCATCGCCTCATATTTGCCATGGTGTGGGGGGTCTGTGATAAATCCCACCAATCTGGACGACGTGGAGCTCCCCAGCGCTGCTACCACATGGTAGTATTTCAGGTCCCCGTCACGGACCTGTCGGCAGGCGAAATGTGCCTCCACGTGTGCGAACCATGCCTCCGCGGCGTGCTCCCAGAATTCCGGCAGCTTTATGAAAACATCGCGCTCAGCCATGTTCGTTAATTTTCCGGAAACTTTCTCGGAAAATTCAGGGTCACCAGTGTAGTGCCGTGAAAAGAGAGTCGGAGGCGGTGTATTAAGAATGGAGTTCCAATCTTTATTATCCATTAATATCAGAGAGGTTAACACATGCACTGCTCTGCCTGATGAGCTAGCAGGAATGGCAGCTAAAGCTACAGGTGTTCCCCACTAAAGGGTCTGTGTGGCAACACAATAAGCAAGGTGAATTATGGTCCCACATGGTGTCACCACACCGTATTATTTAACGAAAATGTACGTTTTAATGCCCCTTGGGTGTGACGTGTGTGATGTCAGTTAATTTAAAGTAAGTTAAAACCCAATACTCACATTTATTAGTGATTCCTCCGCTCGCTGCTGCTTTTAAATCCACTCTGCTGGGGAGACCGGAAGCCATTTCATTTTAAAAAAACTCCCTCTTCCCTGCGCGCATTG